CTCTTGACAATACCCCATAGATTTTCAATGGGGTTTAAGTCAGGTGAGTTTGCCGGCCAATCAAGTACAGTTATTCCATGGCTATTAAACCAGGTACTGGTAATTTTGGCTGTGTGGGCAGGTGCCAAATCCTGCTGGAAAATAAAATCTTCAGCTCCAAAAAGCTTGTCGGCAGCGGGAAGCATGAAGTGCTCTAAAATTTCCTGTTAGACAGCTGCGTTGACTGTGGACTTGATAAAAGACAATGGATCCACACCAGCAGATGACATGGCTCCCCAAACCATCACTGACTGTGGAAACTTCACACTGGACTTTAAGCAGCTTGACTTTTGTGCCTCTCTGGTCTTCCTCCAGACTCTGGGACCTTGATTTCCAAATGAAATGCAGAATATGCTTTCATCTGAAAACAGGACTTGGGACCATTGGGCAATAGACCAGTACTGTTTCTCCTTAGCCCAGCACAGACGCTTCTGACGTTGTTTTTGGTTCAGGAGTGGCTTGACGCATGGGATTCTACAGCTGTAGCCCATGTTATGCAGACGTCTGTATGTGGTGGTTCTTGATGCACTGACACCAGCCTCAGTCCACTCCTTATGAAGCTCCCCCAGATTTCTGAATCGCCCTTGCTTGACAATCCTCTCAAGGCTGCGGTCATCCCTGTCACTTTTGCACCTTTTCCGGCCACATTCTTCCCTTCTTCTTAACACACTGTTAATATACTTTGATACTGCGCTCTGTGAGCATCCAGCTTCTTTTGCAATTGCCTTTTGAGACTTTTCCTCCTTATGGAGGGTGTCAATGATGGTCGTCTGCACAACCGTCAAGTCAGCAGTCTTCCCCATGATTCTGAAGCCTACTAAGCCAGACTGAGACAATTTCAAGGCTGAGGAAACCTTTGCAGGTGTTTTGCATTAATTAGCTGACTAGATTGGGACACAGGGAGCCTACAATGTTGAACTTTGTCATGATATTCTAATTTTGTGAAATACTGGATTTGGGTTTTTTTTGTCTTTAATCCATAATCATCAAAATTGAAACAAATAAAGGCTTGAAATATTTCACTTTGTGTGCAGTGAACTAATATAACATACAAGTTTCACTTTTTGAAACAAATTATTGAAATAAATGGACTTTTCCTTGATATTCTAATTTTTTGGCACATACCTGTAATAGGCCTTTATCACATCACGTATTGTGGCATGTCAGGAAAAGCACAGGTGTAACTGAAACGACCTGACTCATTAACAAGATTAGCTTCACCTGTGCTTTTCCTGCTGTAACAAGTCAAAATGGCTGCTGTGAAAAAGCATGTGCTAGGACTATTTCATTCTTGCTTTGGATGAAAAAACATTTTTGGTGTTTTAAATTGGCAAATGACTTGATGGGTAAATAGATTATCAGATGGCACTGATAAATTTGTCTCAGTTATCTGCTCACATGTTTCAGCAATATACATTTTTGGCACTTGTAGGACAAGTATCCAAAAAGGAACTAAAGGCTTTATTCTATCATAAAGCCACGTCCGGTTCTTTCAAACCAGGAACTCAGAGGGACGACTCAGACCACTTGGATATATAAAAAATATAACCGTGCTGGTTTATTCAAAGAGTCACAGGCAAGAATTAACATTACACGTCCAGGCATCTTCCACCCCCAAAGCTGCTCCCAGGCAGCCC